GTGCCTGGGCTCTTTCTGGCTTGCTACCAATGAAATGAGGCAACACGACACTTCCAGTCACAGATTACATTTATTCTTCCGTATCTGTACAGCTGATAGATCAGTGCATGCTTCAAGCAGCAGTATCTAGAGAAATTTCTTCTCCTGCTAGTAGGATAAATAAATTGCTGTTGCTGTATTACAGGCCTACATGGATGCTTACCTGTTTCCAGGCTGGGAGTGCCAACTACACTTGAGTTAGGGGAAAAGATAGCCAGAAGAAAAAAAAAAAAAAAGAGAGGAACAGCTTTGATTTTTCACATCCAGACATGGTGGGAGAAGAAACACCAATTTCTGTCTTTTGACCCTTGCCATAACTATGGCTTTGAGATGCAATGCTACTGTCTCCTTGCAAGCTGCCTACTTATCCACAAATGATGTATGCCATATCCCTTTCTGTCCGTGCTCCGCAGTGTCACAGCCACATCCCCAAAATAACAAAGTCTTTTGCCAAATAATGCCATTCTTTGACAAGGAGGAGATGCAGAGTCGAGAGTGGGAAATTCCCAGTGTGGAGAGTGGAAACTTGCCCACAACGTTCCAGCAGATAGTGCTCTCAGCTGAGCATGGAGCCTGCAAGCTCTACTCCGGACTCCTTGGCAAGGACAAGGACAGTCTGTGATGGGTAAGGCGAGAACAACAAAACAGGCTACACGCAACAGGAATGCTGCAGTATCCTTCCTCCCGCTAGGGCAGAGACACTGCCAGCAGCAGTAAAGTGTGATATGTTAAATGATAAATACCTTCAAATGGTGTAATCTCTTGGATTCTGTTTCCTGAGGGTCTGCAGAACATCCTCAAGAAGCGATAGCCCCAAATCCACTTTGAAGGACAGGAAGGGATCAGACAGGTCAGAAAGAGCGGTGCCATTCTGAGAACCTGTCTCTGAGGTCCCGCAGTCTGTAGCCTGGTCCTTGTGGAATTGAGTTTGAGTGGCTTTGTGGTATTGATGAGTAGCACCAGAAAAGGAGATGTCAGAGCGAGAATCTGTGTGATCAATGATGTTAGGGCAGCTAGAACTGTCCAGGTACAGCCGGGGAGGCTTGGGAGGTGCTTGTGCCTTGGCTAGGTTTTGCTCACTCTGACACGACAGGTAATCAGACTTGTCCTTCAGATCCCTCAAGCATTCCCTCTTCTGGCACTGTTCGTCGCTGTCCAGAGTGTGGCTGTTCTGATTCAAGATGATGACTTGGTTGCCCAGCTTTTTGTGTCTCCTGAGTGAGAAACGTCTGAAGAACGTTGTGGACTTAATGGACCCCCTCCGCCAAGTATCCATGCTGATGAAAGGCAACGAGAAGAAGGAAACTGCTGACTCTTCACAGTTGGGTGTTGAACTTAACTCAGAGGATCAGCAGCAAGCCACACAACAGGAACAACCTCTTCCTTCCCTGTTCCCGTAGCTGGAAGGAAAATGGAGAGGCTGGTATTGCAGGAAATGCAAACTTCACATTACGTCCCTGAGTTAAGGAGCAATTGGCCTGTCTTAGATATTAAGGAGTCTCCTTCAGTGGAGAAGGAATGGCGATGTCTCAGCGTATTCAATCTGTGCTGCAGAAACAAGCTGATGAAGACTAGCAAAGGCACACAGTCACCATGAGAACAGATTTAATCTAGCATCTAGAACAGAAGGGCATGTTGGTACCATGGTAACCGGCACCTTCATGGTGAAGGGCACAGTATAAAAATCTCAGTGGGTGGTTGGGAAGGGAGAGGGTGACTCAGTCACACTGAAGGAAACAACAAAAAAAAAATAGTCAAATGGAAATTTTAAAAGCAATAAAACACAGGTGTAAAAGACAAACGTTGGGAAAATTGAAGGCAAAATAGACTTACATTGTGTCGTAGCAGCCCCTGAGTCCAGCAGGCGGAGAGGAGAAACTGCTGAAGCACTCGTAGAACTGTCTCTACCAGATTCACCAGATTACTGGGACATTGGAAGAAGCAAGTCCAGGGACGGTTCAGCCAAGTTGGCCCCGGAATGCTAAAAATCCACAATGCCTCCTCTTCATGTGCCTCCTGTCACTGCTTCCCAGGCTGCAGTTCCTTGTGCGTATGTATTTGTTTTGAGCCAAGCCCTTGCTGAGTCAGCCACGTCAGAAACTGGGTTTTACACTATTGGTAGCTGCCAGGATTGCAGGAAGTAGGTGTGTGGAGTGGCAAGGCATCAGCCCACACTCTGCCTGGGGAGAAAGCAAGCTCCCTTGGAGGCACCCGGCTTGCTTGAGAACTGTCAACGTGAATATCGACTTGGAGCCCATCTTGAATCAGACTCTTTCTTCTCTTGGTGCTCTCTCTTCTGCCACTTCTGATGGCTTGTTGTATCAGCAAGGCTCCCAAATGAGGCTGGAAACCATCTCTTGTGTGGTTTAAATTAAATCCAGAGTGTGAGGTAGTGATTCAGGTTTGTATGGGTGATTCATCTGCATGAGTCTCATGTAGGCTATTTCATTCAGCCAAGCAAATGACAGTAGTTATCTGTGGTTAGTGGACAGGAACTTTGAAGAAGCCTAGTTCTGCTGCTGAAGGCTGATACAATCTGGTGCTTTCTCAGACACTATGAAAATCTGTGCTGTGCAGTACTGAAAGGTTATTTCATTCATGCAGCTCCTAAGATACCAATTATGGCATATTAATCTCTTAATTTCCTGGTCTAAGTTTCTCATCTATTGTGGGCTTCTATTTTGTCCTCGCAGCTAGACACTCTGCAGTTGGAGGAACCACTTTGCTGGCACATGATAACAAATTTGCACTTGCCCTGTTTTTATGCAGAATCTTACTTAGCTATTCTATTGCCTTTTCATCCCTTCTATTTTCTATTTAAGATGTCCTTAAATGACTATTAAATCTAGTCCTTAGAAAAAGGAATGTGAGTTGGTTTTGGTTTTTTTTCCCCCATTCACCTTCTGTCAAGATGCTTTTCTTTCTACCTGAACTGTCAAGCAAATGAGATGGATGTTTCCAAGCATTGCAGTGCTTTGAATACATCCGAAATAGTACGGCCACCTACTAATGTTAAATGGCTTTTGAAAGCAGAGTGCCAAAATCACCAATTTGCTCTGCGATAGCAGCTGTCATCTGCTGCCTACATTTATTAGGTAGAGTCTGCAATCAACTTATTTGATGTGACAGTTGCTACCACACACAGCAGAAAGGCTCCAAGAGCTTCTGAGAACTAAACCACTGTTGTGTCAGGTTTGGGAACATACCTGGTGGTTTTCTTTCTGTAGCCACTTTCATGACTAAACCACAGAAAGGTCTGATTTTTATTTTTTTTTTTAAAATGGCATTAGCCTTTGTAACGGATGAAGTGTACGCTAGACTTTGTGCACCAGTGTTGTACTTGCAGAGCAAGCTTGTCGTCCAGAATAACCAGCCACAGCGAGGCCAGCCATGTTTCCCATCCAACCTCGTGAGCAGGGAGTAGCTCCAGCAGCAAGAGGGTAATTCAGGTTCCCTGTCTGTCCCACTCTTGGTCTCATCAGCAACACTGTTAGGAAGCAAGCTATTTTCTGTAGGCCTGGCAGCTTTCACACCTTACCTGATTTCTCTGGGGTCATACTGCTATGAACCACCTTCCTGACTCCACTCTGTGTGTTGTGAGAGTGGTTTACGGAGAGGGGGGCTGGGGTATGTACTGTCCTTGACAGGTTGCATTTGTTTTCTGCTCCTAGGCATCGGTGGTATCAGAACGGGATTACGAGAGCCTGGTGATGATGCGGATGCGCCAAGCAGCAGAGAGGCAGCAGCTTATCGAACAGCTCAAGCAGGAGGATGAGGAAGAGTCTCACGCCTAGCATGAGAGAGCATGGATTCTCTTCACCCTCACCCCATCATTCTTCATTTCCAAAGCGGTTTCTTAATTTAAGTCAATAAACCACCTTTTTTTCTTTTTTTTTTTTTTAAAAACTGTTGTAGGCATACAAATTCTCCATGACTGCAGCCCTTATCCCTTTCCAGAGCAGGGGGGGAAAATGGTTGCATAAGCTTCAGAGTAAGTGTATTAACCTGTCAGTCTGTGCACTCAGAGCAGCTGCCCAGTCACAGAGGAGAGGGTGTGAGAGATGCTACCAGAACACCAAACCTTAGAGCTTCTTTTAACTCCTGAAAGCTTGTTCAGGAGCTGTGGATCCAGAAGGCTTTGGCAACAACTGTTTAAAAGAACCCACAGAAAGACATCGATCTCTTTAGAGAAATGTTTTATTGGTGTTACCCCTACAGGAGGATTGATACTGTCCCAAACAATCCAGCATTGCAACTGCTGCCGTTAAGATTACAGAGGCCGTACCTGAAATGTTCACAAGACCTTTCTGTGCTGCTCTAAGGCTATTTTGGGAACAGCGTGTTATGGTTGAATGGCACTCTTGGGGCTGGAAGTCTGATGATGCTGCTAAGCACGATCCCATTTGGGAGAGAGACCGGCCTTGCTGCCGAGTGGGGATTCTCAAAGAGCCTGGTGTAGCTTTAGCCGCTCCCGCTTACATTCCAGGGATGAGACAGTGTGCCATCCGTGCTGGGCCTCCCCTCCCTACCCCCACGGCCTGGGAGAAGGTATGCCCTGAACTCACAGCTCAGCACGTACCTCTCTGGGGCGGCCCTGAGGAACAGGCAGGCAAGTCTGTTATTTGAGCTTAGTCCAATGCATGCTAAATAGGAGATGATTAAAATGTAAAAAGATGGTATTTGCCAGACTGCCGGTCGGATGAATGTGGAGATGGAGCCATCTGTTCTCTGTGCCTGATTTCATCTGGACTAGGCATACTTTCCTCCCCCTGGTCTTATGAAACGGCAGGGACGGCAAGTTTCCATCGGGTCAAGTTTTGCCTCTACGCCACTCCTCCCCCTGTGCCCGAGTGCCTGGAGTCTGGGACAGAAAGGAATTAAGGGGAAAAGCTTGCTGTCAGTCCTGTGTGAGATGATCCCCAGCAGGATCTCATCCAGGTGGAACACAGAAGTCTTCCTCGCTATTCCTTGTGGAGGCACCACACCAGTGTCTGGCCCACACCTGTCATGCTCACCACCCGGTAACCACAGCTCTCCAGCTTGTTCAAGACTATCCGTGGTGCGTCGTTCACATAATACTCCCAGCTGCGAGCAGGAAAGAAGAGAAATAAAATGAGGTGGAGAAGGAAGAGACAAGAATTTCCTTGTGGAAGTGGCTGTGCCTCACTGCTAAACCGATACAGGGCCCTGCAGGGACCACACCTGGCACGCTGTCTGTGTGATGCAATGTCGTGGTTTACCAGGTGGGAAGGCCAAACCCAGGAGAAAGCCTGTCCAAAATGGAAGGGTCACGTTAAATTGAAACGTGGTTCGGGGACCGGTTGGCCAAAGCCACATGCTGCTCGGTTAACTGGGCTGAAACTGCAGCAGAGAGGGTTCACAAGTATTCCCAGCTGGGAATTTATGGGAAAAGAGGATAATCTCTGCAAAGCAGGGAAGAATTATTTGGGTGTTTCTAAAGAATGAAAACCCAGTGTTTTGCCTGTGTCAGAGCACGTCTGTAAATGGGGTGTTTTTGAGAGCCTGTGCTTGAAATTTGGGGATTGGAAACAAATGCTGCCTTCAGCCGAGTATGAAGCCTTTGAAAAAGCAGAAGTCATCGGTCCTGAAGAGAGCTGCCAAGTCAGGTGGAGCACAGGCTCCTCTCTACCCCAGCAATTCAGGGCAGCCACGTGCTGTGATGTCTGGGAACTGACACTGGGGATCTCTGTCCAGCTTTTACTCCTCTGCAGTTTCTGCTGGCTCTGTGCGTTTGGAGCAGAGGCTGGCCTTGCCCCTACCCCATCCCTGAGGGTGCTTCTCCACGGGGGACTTGAGAGCTGTAAGACTGCTCCCACCACAAACGAAACAGATGGCGATTGCAGAACGGGAGAGTCGCACAGTACAGACACAAAAGGGGCTGAATTAGGTGAGGAAGGAGCAGAGCTGAAATGGCAAGTGTAGCCTTCAGTGCTGGATTTGGCAGCCTTTCCGTTCCTTTAACACAGTCCTTTTGGATGCAGTATTTATTCGAGCAGATGGGATAAGCTTCATAATAGTTTAGCTCTTGGATGACTCACTGCGCCAGATAAGCTGATAATGATGGGCTACAGGACCATTGGTGACCTTGTTTGGGCACCTGAACAAAGGCTCTCCTGATTTTTGTACTAATAACAATAAAAAAAGACCCAAAAGCATTTCCAAAGTTGCTCTTGTTAAGATTGCAAAATATTAATGGAGTGGTGAGTGCTTTTAAAACATGAAATAACATCAAGATGTGAAAGCTTTTTTTTTAGTTTCTCAAGACAGACTATACTTTGCTATAATTATAGATGTGGTGTAAAGATAATATGTATTATTATAAGTGATAATTTATTATAAGTGTCTTTGAACTTAATGCTTTCTCTAAGAGGCTTGCCACATACCCTTCAGATTCACATGTTGGAGTTGGTAAATATTATTCCCATTATGCAGAGGAAGGGATTGTTTGTTATTTGGAGGAACCTAAAAAACGCAGAAGGAAAGCTGAGTTGCCCAGGGCTTTAAACACAACTCCGTATGGAGTGAAACAAAAGCTCGCACGCAGTGCCTATCAGATATGCCACTGTCTCTGTGAGCTGGTCTGAATCGGGATGGAGTGGCTGGGACCATTTGCAAAGCCCTTCCTCCCACCTAAACGCCAGAAGGGAACCGAAAAGCGTCCTGAGACCGGAGAGGACTTCTGCACTTGCGTGTCGTTACGTACGTGACCCCAGTTGCCCTGCCTCCCAGGTGTGCCAAAACCAGCGAGCCCAGGTGAGTGTGCATGGGGATGGGATTGAGCTGGGGCAGGAGCGTCCTCCACACGCAGCTGTTTGTAGTGATGGAGCAGACAACCTCCTAGTGATACCGGCCCGGCTGTCCTTTCCGCTTCCCCGAGGACGGGCTGTGGCTGTGCCCCGGGGAACAGCTAAATGAAGGTATTAGCAGGTCCCTCAGACCTCTACTCCCAGAATCTTAACAGAGATTTGTTTGGTTTTCATGTAAGAGCAAACAGTGCTGATGGCCTTTATAATTACAGGAGATGCCGGCGACCGTGCCCAGCACTCATCCACACGTGCCTGTCCACCTGGGTGGACTCAGAAGAATCTCCTTTTCTGCAGCAGTCGAAGGTCAGGTATGTGATCCTTGGCCCTGGGCTGGCTACCAGAAACGCGCGGGCTGGGACCGAGCCCACCTTCGCCCTTGCTAAAGCCCAGATGCCCCCGAGGTTCTGCCTCTGCACATCCGATAGGGGAGCGACCGTGCCTGCCTTAATGACGTGCTGCTCACAGTACCTGGTGCGGAGCTGCATAACAGGATCAGTGCTCTCCCTTATTAGAGGCAATTAAGTACTTCACCTGTATATTACAGTGCCCCAGCAAGTCCACACTGCTTAGACCTTTTTTTCCAGGCTCCCTCCAAGGTCATGGTTAAGATTTTGGGCCCCACGGTGCTACAGGAGGGGCAAGATTTGCAGCATCCTATAGCCAGCCTTACTGCTAGCGAAGCCTGACAGTCAGGTGGATGGAAAATCCTGCTCGGCCATGGTGCAAACACCGGGGCTCTCACCCCCGGCAGGGATCTTTGGCAGAGAGGCAGCCAGGGCTCACCCCGCTGGTGCATGCCGCCGTGCCTCTCCGGGTGTCAGCAGGCACATCCCAGCCGGGTTATTTTCTCCACCCGCTGTTGCTCAAGCGCAAACGGGGAAGACGTGCCGCGGGGACGCAGCGGAGTTCCCCTGGGTATAACACACGCTGTACCAAGAGACTCGTGGGGCAAGAGGGAGCTCAAAACGCTGCAGGCCACGGGGCGGGAAGAAGGGTGGTGAATCCACCAGGGAGAGCCCACAGAAAGCTCAGATCCCTTCTCCCAAACAAGCAAAACGTGGCACTCCGGTTCCTTATAACGCCACATCTCCTCCCTGGCTGCTGGGGCAGGCACCGCGGAGGCATTTTATTTTCCGCCCAAATCCTAGGGATCCTTGCCCCGGTCTCTCAGGAGCCAGCAGCACTTCTTCCTTCTTGAAGCCTCTTCTTTTTCTCCCCGCTCGGGTCTCCCTCCTCTCATTGCACAGCTCCCTGCCTGCTCCCAGGCTTGGCTTGGCAGGCAGCAGCGTGGAGCTGACGCCAATCTCCTGGCTGCCCACGGGGTCGGGAATAGCAGCGCAGAGATGCCTCAGCCCAGCAAACCCACCCCGAGCCGCTCGGCAGGGAGGGGAGAGACAGGAGGGGTCCCAGATCATCCTTCCCGCAGATGCGGGGAGCTGGCCGTGGCCTGAGTTTGCATTTGGAAGGGTTTCTCGTTAACAGGGGGCCCTTCAGTTGTTTTTATCTCCTCTTTCTTTGAAATCTCCCACCCCGCTCAGGTTTTTAACGCTGCGGGAACTGAGGACCCAGACCTCGACGTTTGCCAGGCTGGTACTGAGTAGGTGGGCTTTCCCAGCTCCGCCGATGGAAGTGTGAGAACGTACTGGGACCGAGAGGCCCCTTCTGTTTAACGCCTGGTTCTCCTCCTCCTCCTCCTCTGCGCCACAGCGCGAGTGGGCAAGCTTGAGCAGAAATCTGACTGCTCCTCTCTGTTGTTTTAGTTTGCATTTGGGGTTTTGTTTTGCTTTGCAGTTTGTTTTTTTTTTTCTCCTGGAGAAAAACAAGAAGTGAGAGATCAAGTGGGGAAAAGAGAAAAAAAAAAAAGTGGGCCAAGATGTAAAGACCATGCTGGTAACATCTCCAAGTTGCCCTTTGGTGAAGGCTGGTGTCAAACTCGGCGTGGGCAGAGAGAGAGAGATGGGGACATGGAGAGGCATCAAATATATACGGCCCGGGAACACACAGGCTGATGGGTCTGAGGTGGGGAGGGACCCGACGGGAAGCAGCTGCAGCTCTGGGGCTCAGCAGCCCAAGGACAAGTTCTTCAGGAGCTGTCGAGGGGGGCTGGCTTGGATGCTCGGTAACGGGGAGAAGCCTCACGCTGCGCTGGAGAGTGTGGCGGGATGGGACAGACTGCGGGCAAGCGCGACCGGTGGCTTGGCACCAAAAAAGGCCGCAGCCGGAGCAAGGCTGCGATGGGCACCCTTCGCTTCTGAGCATCTCGGGGCTGGAAATGCTAATAAAACAGAGAAGGTTTGTCTTTTAGGATTAAGAGTGGGATGAAGGCAGATAAAGTTATGCAGAAAGATTCCAATGCTCACTGTGTTTGTTTTACTTCAGCCAGGGCGTGCGTCAGGTAGCAGCCAGAAGCATCCCCAGCCTCTGAGGGGTAAGGAGAGGGGGGAGGTGGGTCGGGTGCTAAAACGAGGTGAAAGCAAGGAAAAGAAAGAACAAAAGTACACACCAGGCAGCGTTTCCTTGGGTGAGCATTAACAGGCAGGGCAATGACACATGCATGCCCTTCAGCATCAAACTAGTCTCAGGTTTAAATGTGCAGGTGGAAGGTGCCACGGTGAATATGAGGAGTGAAAACGTTCCAGATTTTCTTGGGAAAATAAGGAGAGGGGAGAGCCTGAAATGCTGCAGAGGAGGACTTACAAGTGGTTCCCCAGCATGTTCCTCTTCGTGGCCCCCAGGAAGCTCATCAGGCTGGGATCGGAATGCTCATCTCCCACCATGGTGGGGCCAACCTCCTGCAGGGAAAGGCAGCAGAGCGGGTGAGCGATGCGCGGCAGCACAGCCAGCCCCCTCCCCGCTCCCCGGCACAGCTCCAGTAAGGGTTTTACTGGGAAGGGAATTGCTGCGAGCCACCGGCCGTCCCAGGAGAGGACCTTTGGCTTCGCTCCTGAAGGGCCATCTGCTGGATGAGCTCCCGGCGGCTCTGCTCCTCCGGGATCCACCACCCAGGTCAGTAGGACAGCAACGAGGGACTGCTCACGGCCTTATTGTGCAAAACCAGCAAATCTGTGTGTTTTACTGTGAAATGAGCATCCCCAGGCCACTTAGGGATGGTTTGCCTGTCCTGGGAGAAGGGAGCGTTGGGAATGGCTCCACTGGCTGGGAAGGGCGAGAAGATCAGGGTGAGAAGGCACCACAGAGACTCTGGGGCAGAAGAGCACCCTTGGGATGACAAGGGACGGTCGCACTCCCTTGGAAGCGAGAGGAGACCGGGGGGGAGGCAGTCAGGGATGTCCGTCGTCTCGCCACCGGAGCTGTCAGGTGGACTTCCCACATGTCTCATGGGGGGACAGGGGCATTTCTGTGCAGTGCTCCCAAAATGGTATTTTATGAGATATTCCTGGGCTGGAGGTATTCCAGAACTAAGGGCAAGGGCACAGCAGTGTCAGACAATGTGACCCCCGCGATGACTGTCTGCTCCCAACCGACCCGCAGCACAGGCGGGGAGCAGCCGGGGCGGGCAGCATCCAGCCGCCCTGCGACGCCCCGGCTGGGAGAGCCAGAACCAGCCCGAACGCTGCCCTTAGCTATGGGGGCATCGGGCACACCTCGTGGTGGGACCCACAACCCACCCTCCTTGCTCGGCGCTGATGGGGGTGCCAAGACCCTCCGTGCTCCAAAACCTCCCCCTGCGCCTTCCAGGCTATCCCTGAAAACACCAGGGTTTCGTTGATTTTAATAGGTGGGGCAATTGTTTCCTTGCTACCCTCCTCCACACTACTTATGAAAAGTTTGCAGGTGAAAACCATTCTTCCGAGGGATGTCCCCCAGCGCTGGCAAACCTACATCACACCATTATCCACACTTTACAGTACCCAAAGGACTGCTCAACCTTAAACAACCTCAGAAATACTTTAAGTATTTAAGCCCAGACCCTTTTGGACCCCTCTCTTCTCTATCAGCCCTTGGAGAAAGCAAAGCCCAGGGACACGACAAGGGTCCCTGAGCCTCCAACAGCGGTTGGGTGCGGAGGTTTGCAGGCTGTGCGCTCCACGTTACCCTGTGGTGCGAACCCCTCGGTCTTGGGGCAGCAGGTCGGGAAGCCCTGCGCTTTGACCCACGGTGAGTTTAGCAACAAAGCAGCGGGACGGTCTGGCGGCAGAGAAAGCAGAGAACTTGTGCGTGGCTGGGAGAGCTGAGATAGCCGGTTTGGGGAAAGCGGGTGGGTGAGGACTGAGTGCACCAGGGAGGGTGAAATCCCTCCCTGACAGCGTCCATCTACAAACCAGCGCTGGCAGAATGCGTGTGAATCATGAGCCTCAATCAGATCCCAACTAGAAGCACTCACGCAGCGCCACTGACCAAACCCTTCGGCGAGCTGTGCGAACACGCAGGCACGCTCGGCTGCCCGGAGTGCTGGAAAAGACCAAAGGGAAGCAGAGGAAGAGCCCTCTCCCCTCGCCGCCCCCCCTGCAGCCCTCCTGCCCGCAGCCCAGCACCGTGAGCCCCACGGGAGACGTGCCACGGCGGGGAGCGACTCGGCAGGAAAAACCAGCAAAGTCAATCACCCCCTGCGAGGCCAGGAGGGGCTGTTTGCAGCCACAGCTCGGTGCCAAGTTTCAGGTTGGAAAAGTCTGCTTTGCCCTGCTAAAGAGCAGAGTTTCCAAAGTCTCCGGAGGGGAAACGTGTTAAGCTATGCTAATCCCCTGCGCCCTGCTGCGTGCCTTTCCCTAAAGCGCTATAAACCCCAACCACGCAGCGCTTTCTGTATCGTGGTCCATAATCACTTAATCAACTTGTCGGATGCCAAACATCCCTGCCAACAGACGCTTTGGTGCTGCAGCGTCCCCGCACGTCCTCACTCTCAATTCACTGCTGCCTTGGTTTGAGATGTGAGCCTAGCGGGACATCTTCAACGACAGCAGCGGCATCTTTCACCAAACTCCTGCCAGCCTGTTGATTGGCTTTTTTTCACCGTTACTCCCTTCCTATTGCAAAACCACATCGTCATATTTTGGCTTTCGGATGTATAGTTCCCCTTTGTGTTGGGAAAAAAGAGAAAAACCCCGACAAATACGT